CAAAATTTTCAGTTTTAAAAACTTTATTTTGAATAAAACTTTTGGCCCCAATTTAGCTCCATAAAAGTCCAGCAGGTTCTGGGTGCTTGGACTCAGTGAGGACCGTCCTCGTCTTTAATCCTGCTGTATGCAGATGATGTGGGCGGGTCTTGAGAGGGTGGGGGTGTGGCTTCTGTCAGATGTGTTGAAGAAAGAACTGAGTCCAAAAGTAAAAACTCTTTGGTCCATCAGACCCTCAAATGTGGTCCTGAGGGACTGACAGAACCAGATCCTGGATCTGAAATGACCTTCTGTTGTAGGGTTGTTGGGTGGTCCGGGCCCTAYGACAGAAGATCGGGGGGATTTCAGCATAAAGCTGCTGCTCTGGATCAAAAGGAGTCGGTTGAGGTGTTTATATGAGACGGACGTTAGCTTTTAGCTGATGTCATGCTAACTTCAGCTGAATCAGGATTTACTCTCCAGCTCTCATTAATGCTGTGACCACAGTCATTGTGTTCGTCGTAGTGGTTGCTGTCATCATCATCATCATCATCATCATCATCATCATCATCATCATCATCATCATCACCCTGTAATTACAGGTAAGCCCCCCCCCAACAGCAGTGTGTTCTGCTGACCCCCCCTCTCGGCTCTCCTCCTGCAGTACAGCCACCAGATGCAGGAGATGGAGGACGAGATGAACGGGATCATCACCACCATCACCAGCCACTCCCACCGAGCCAAGAGACGCAAGGAGCCTGCGGCCGCCTCGGCCCCCTCGGCCCCCGCCTCCACAGAACTCACCGTCGGCCCCTCCAGCCCCTCCGGCAGCGAACCCAAGCCCGAGGCGTCCCCCCCGGAGCCCACCAACTGGTGCCTCACTGCTCTGGCCACCATCCGCAAAATCCTGAGTTTCCTCAGCTGCTGCCACGTGGAGAACCCCCACCACATAGACAACTACTCCAGAGTGGCCTTCCCACTCTCCTTCATCATGGTCAACCTGCTCTACTGGACTTATTATCTCTACTTCTAGTACTTACAGCACGTGTGTGTACTGTGTGTACTGTGTGTGTGTACAGGAAGTGGTAACTGAAAGGGGTTTGTACAATTTATACATTTGGATTCATGAATGATGTAGCAAACTTTATCTKTGTTTTTGGAGGAAACTGCAGCTTTATTTTTAATCGCGATATACTCTTCTATAGTTGTCTCTGGTTTATTTTGAGTATAGCCCCCCGACACAGACGAGAGAAGAGCTGAAGCAGCTTAAATCCAATCAGACCTTCAGCTGTTTGTTTACAGAGCAAACAGAGAACAGGTGCTTCAGGTGCTTCGTTTGCTATTAATGATATTAATAATAGGGCTTGCCATATCAACTTACGCTCTCTCATTAAGGGAGAGCGTAAGTTGCTATTTAGGTAGCTAGCTAAATATTTAAGTTACTAGCTAAATATTTAAGTTGCAAGCTAAATATTTAAGTTACTAGCTAAATATTTAAGTTGCAAGCTAAATATTTAAGTTGCAAGCTAAATATTTAAGTTACTAGCTAAATATTTACGTTGTAACCTAAATATTTAGGTAGCTAGCTAAATATTTAAGTTACTAGCTAAATATTTAAGTTACTAGCTAAACATTTAACTTG